TTGCACCAAAATTACAATCTGTTATGTCTTTAGCAAGCATTTAGCTAAACTTAACCAGCCACCCTTCACACAAACCTCATTACATTAGCAAAAAGTCCAATGCCCATAAAGATACTAAAGGATTAGTATTGTTTATAAACATTTACAAATGATGAATACTTTCAACTTTAGATTAGCTACTGCAAAAACATGAACAAATGATTAATAAATGATTAGTAAAGATGTGTGAATAGGGTAAATTCAGGTCTTTCGGAACATTTTTTGTCATTGAGATGCCTGTTTATAATGGTATTAATGATTAGTAAACGTTTATAAACATTTGCAAATGATAAATAGTTTCCACTTTAGATTGGGTACTGCAAAAACATAAACAAATAATTAATAAATGATTTGTTAAGATGTGAAATAGAGGTCTACACAACAAACAAAGACCAACGAATGAAGATGATATTTTTAAGATCAAAGTTTACTGACATTTGTAAGCATTTAAATTTACATTAAATAATCATATGTTAATCATTAGGTAATGTTTAGTAAGTTCATTAGTAAACATTAACAAGCACATTATCTCATATTTCTAGCTATATGATTATATATTAACTAATGATCTGTTAAGCATTATATAATGTTTGTTAATGATTTATAAATTAAAGTTATTATAAAGTGTTACCTATGATAGTTACAGTAGACTAGTAGTATCAGCAAAATGCATTGCAATATATGCATCTATGGAATAGCTCATTATTTGCTTCATAATTTTTATTAAATAATTTATTTTAACCTAAAAAGTTTTTTTTTCACCTTTATCCTGATTTCTGCATTTAAATTCCAGTTCAACAGTACCTTTGGGGTTGTTCAGGTAAGTGCACAATGTGTTGTCTAGTGCCTGGTGTCACCATAGCTTTCCTGGATCACACTAACATCTGTGTATTTTAACTCATTAACCGTATACTGTATCAAAACAAAAAAGTACTAATGCATTTAATAATGTGAAATGCTTGTAATAAAGATTTTACTGTGTTGACACTCCACTAGGGCTGTGCAATTAATCGCGTGTGATTGTCATGCACATCTCGTCAGTAAAGCCGGTTCCGTGATTAGTAGTAAATCTCCATCACCTGCTTTCAGATGGAGCGGCATTTACTACACAGAGCCGTCGTTCACTGACAAGCTACGCAATATCGCGTTCATTATCGCAGATTGAATCGCCTGCGATAATGAGCGCGATATTGCCTAATTGTCAGTGAACTACGGCTCTGTGTAGTAAATGCCGCTCCATCTGAAAGCAGGTGATGGAGATTTACTACTAATCATGGAACCAGCTTTACTGACGAGATGCGCATGATAATCGCATGCAATTAATTGCACAGCCCTACACTCCACTATCCATAACTTCAAACCTAGAAAGTTGTAGACCAATTTCTTTATTTTATATATGCTATTTGTTTTGAAATTTGGGAAGAAATAAAACTAGACAAGCGGTAAACTGATACATGTTTATTCCAAGAAATAATGTGACACAAGACACATATGCACATGCATGCGAACAGCAAGATTTTTCCATTACTTAAAGCCACTTTTCCATATGTTCTGTGCATATTTGTGCAACCTGAACAGCTGAAAATGGGAATGAATGAGTTGTTGAAACTTCTAATTTGAATATTTTAAAATATTTCTAGCATGTGAGCAGTTTTAAGAGGTTTCTCTATTTTATGCATTGATTGTAAATGTTTTCAATTATCAAAAAAGAGTATCCTTAATTTTCTCATAATTTGTGATCTTTACCCAAGATTGTGTATTTGTAGTGTTTCAAGCTACAAGTGTCTTATAGAATATGTGAAGCCTTGAATTTACCTGCATTTCTGCATAAATTGTTCAGTAAACTTCACAGCCACATTTGTTTAAGCAGACTGTGTTGGTCTATTTATGTGACTTTAGATCAAAGTTTATGACCAGATCTAGGTAAATCCAAGGGCTCACAGATAGTTTTTCCTGCAGGTATACATTCTTGTATTTTATCTATAACAAAGTTCAGCTTACATCATGTTTTGTGTTTGTATGTGCTTTCAGGGAGGCCTTGCACTCAGGTTCAAGTGCTAACCCCAGAGAGATCAGCACGCCTAATTAAAGAAGTCCTTACCGCAGCATGGCCTTCTAGAGATTTTGCAGTTCAGTGGTACCCTGGTGATCAAGAGAAGCAGCATCCCTCAGCATCTTGGCTCAGAATGATTTGGAAGCATCTCTACATTAACTTTGCAGATGACCTTAGTGTGTTTGAAGATTTGCCTTTGATTCCAAATGTGCCACTGACTGACACCTTAGATTCTCTAGAGCTACTGCGTCTAAAAACTCAATCACCCATCATTCTTGTAAATGAGGAAGAGGGTCCTCCGTCAGAAGACTTACTTGAAGTTATGAAGAAACTTGGCTGTGTTATCTTGAAGCAACTTGATCCCTGCTTGCACCATCCACTCCTGAAAAATTACATTCACCAGTCATCACCAAGCACACTACTGCAAATTATGGAAAAATCTACATCCCAGAGATTAGCAAACCAAGTTTCATCTTTCTCTGTCAAACAGAAAATTGCCCTCAGAGGCTTTTTTGCTGGTCTTACTGATGTTACAGAAAAAGAGAAACGCATAATTCAAGAGCTTCCCATCTTTGACAAAGTTGGACAGAAGTCAAACACAGACCCTTCACTTTTTACATTATTGAAAGGAGCCAGAGTATTACATCATACTGCCAAGCATCCATTAGATGTGAAATTGTCCATAAATGTAGTTGACTGCAGTGATGAGGCAACCATCCGTCTAATAAAGCTGTTGAACATTGAACAAGTGAAAAGCACTGAATGTCTAAAAGTGATAATTCAAGACATTGAGAAAGGATTCTACACCAAAGAGGAAGTCACAAAAATCATCCTCTGGGCTCTTACTCATTTGTCTTTTCTGAAGAGTGAAAACAAGGCAGTAATTAGTTGGCTTTCGTCACTGAAGTTTATTTATACCTCTTCAGAAAAACCTTATTCACCAACAGACTTTTTTGATCCAGAGTTAGAGATTTTGCAGAACCTTTTCTTCATGGAAGAAAAGATTAGGTTTCCCCCAGATGACTATACATCATCTCCTGATGCCCTTCATTCACTGAGGCAACTGGGGCTGAAAAATGAGGTTCAACTCAGTGAAAAGGATGTGCTCCAAGTTGCCAGAAAAATTGAGGAGTTGCAAGGAAATAGCAAACCAGATTGGAATCCTATTTTAATGAAGGCAAAAACACTTCTTACTATCCTAAACAAACAGACAAAGTTGGTGAAGTCCTCTGAGGTTCAGACAAACTTGCAAAAATTGAAATGGGTGCCTGTTTGCAAAGACAGACCACTGAATTACCCAAAGTCACTTACTTGGAGAGGTGATTCCTGTAATATTTCCTCTCTTTCTGAAATGTGTGAAATTTCTCATGCTGTGCTTGTTGGTTCTTCAGTTGCCCTTGTGGAACGTACCTCTGCTGGCATGAAAAAAGCCCTGAAGTTGTCATTAGAACCTCAGGTGGATCAAGTGCTCCAGCATTTGAAAGCAGTAAATGACTGGCACAAATCCCAAGCATTTACCACTGAGGACTGGTATCAGTTTCAGCAGATCTTGTTTGAGATATATGAATTCATGCAAGCTCATTTGGAGGATGCAAGGGAAGCCGTGGAGTCTTTGCCCTTTGATTGGGTTTGGACGGGGAAAACCTTTGCTTCCCCTGGATGCACAGTTTTAAAGCCCATACCAGATTTGGACCTCCAGCCTTACTTGTACTCATTACCAAAGACCATTGCAAAATTCACCAAGCTTTTTAAATTATGTGGCTCTATTGAAGAAGTTGTTCCCAGTCATGTGTTTGAAGTTGTCGAAACAATCAGGCAAAGGAGTGAGCAGGAGATGACAAAAGAAGAAAGCAAACGCAATGTCCTACTCCTGATAAATATTTTACGGTGGCTATACAGCAGTCAAATATCAGTAGATGCTGACATGCACATCCCCATTCTGTACCACAAAGATCCAAGCAAACTGGTTATGAAACCTATCCATGAATGCACTTACTGTGACATCAAAGTAGAGGATCTGAATGACTTACTAGATGATGTTTCAGAGCCCATCATCCTTGTCCATGATGACATTCCAATGAAAACTGCTGAATGGTTGAGAGTTCCATGTTTGAGCACGAGATTGATAAACCCAGAGAACCTTGGGTTTGAACAATCAGGACAAAGAGAGCCTCTAACTGTGAGAATAAAGAACATTCTAGAGGAGTATCCATCAGTTGCGGATATCTTCAAAGAGCTTTTGCAGAATGCTGATGACGCAAATGCTACTGAGTGTAGTTTTCTGATTGACATGCGAAAGAATCTTGAAATCCGAGAGAATCTGCTTGACCCTGGCATGATTGTTTGTCATGGCCCAGCATTGTGGTCCTTCAACAATTCTGTTTTCTCTGATACAGACTTCCTTAATATAACCAGGCTTGGTGGATCCATGAAAAGATGTGAAGCTGACAAAGTGGGCAAATTTGGCCTAGGGTTCAACTCCGTTTATCATGTGACTGACATACCCATTATCATGAGTAGAGAATTCATGATCATGTTTGATCCCAACATCAATCACATTGGCAAACACATCAGAGACAAGTCAAATCCAGGTATCAAAATTAACTGGAGCAAACAGCAGAAACGGCTACGGAAGTTTCCCAATCAGTTCAAACCTTTCATCAATGTATTTAACTGTCAGCTTCCTCTGTCACTGGAGTCACCTTACAAGTATGATGGGACCCTCTTCAGACTTCCTTTCAGAACTGAGCAGGAGGCATCTGTAAGTGAAATCAGCAGTATTTACTACAATACCACTGATATCTACTCTCTTGTGGATGAATTTAGCATCTGTGGTCACCGGCTCATTCTCTTCACACAACATGTTGGAACAATGGTCTTGAAGTATTTGAAATGTGAGGAGCCAAACCCTGCTGCTGCACAGGATGTGGTCACGATAAACAAGAGTGTGTGGTCCTCCAAAGCTGCTTATGGCCCCCTAAGTATTCTGAAATCTGCTGCCAAAGTCATGAAAAAAGTTGCAGCCACCAACAGAGTGCCGGCTGAGGTCCCTAAGTCTGGTTGCATCATCAGAATTGTAGTGGAGGAGTTCCACAATGTCTTCAGACGTATTGTTGATCTTCAGTCCCCACTGTTCAGAGGTTCTGAAGAGGATCCATCGTCCTACTTTGAGATGGCTGCTAAGGGCACACAAACTAAAAGACTTACAGATGACATGCCACAGAAGGGAGTGGAAAATACAAACTGGCTTATCTGCTCATGCATGGATGTGACAGAAGCTCTGAAGTTCTCCTTGAGTGATAGTGGAAAACGCCTCGGTCTGGTACCATGTGGAGGTGTAGCTGTGCTGCTCTCTGAAGAAGACAATAGAAAATGGACCGTAAAGACAAGTGCAACCCCAATTGGGGAAGTGTTCTGCTACTTACCCCTTCGAATCAAAACTGGCTTACCTGTGCACATAAATGGTTGCTTTGCTGTCACATCAAATCGCAAAGAGATCTGGAAGACAGACACAAAAGGACAATGGAATTCCATTTTTATGAGACATGTGATTGTCCAAGCATACTTGGCTGCACTTAACATGCTGAGGTCAATGGCAGAAAGTGGGGAATTATTGGACTACAGCTATTATGCAGCCTGGCCTGACCCTGGAGTTGTCCATGATGATTTCAATCTGATTTGTCAAGGGGTTTATCAAGAAATAGCTAAAGGTGTTGATGATGACCGTGCAAAAGTCTTTTCAGATGGAAAAACCTGGGTGTCAATCAAGAATGTCCGTTTTTTGGATGACTCTTTGCTTTGCAGACCAGACATTGGGTCTGCTGCCTTCAAGATATTCTTGAAATACCTCAGAAAGTGTGGTTCCCAAGATCTTTGTGCTGTTGAGCTGCCAGACTGGGTCAAGGAAGGCTTCGATGATGCTGGCTGTAAAGGAAAATTGATGGAGAACACCCTGACAGAGACACAGTTTTTCTCAGATGTGTTCTTCCCCCATATCCAAGACATTGATAAGGATCTACGTGATCCTCTGATGTATTATGTGCTCAATGAAAAACTTGAGGATTTTGCATCCATACTGAGGGAAACCCCATGTATTCCATGTTCAGGACCATCACAGAAGCTTGTTTTGCCATCTCGACTCATACATCCTGAGGGCAGAGTAGCCAAACTGTACAACAGTGAAGATGGAAGATTCCCTGAAGGAAGTTTAAGAGACTATGTCAATCCTGTATGCTTGGTGAAATTAGTTCAGCTGGGTATGGTCAAGGATGACCTGTCTTGGGAAGACTTGATTGAACGGGCTGAGTCTGTATTGGCTCTAAATGAAAATGACCACACACTTGCGTGCCACAGGAGCAGTATAATCCTCAGTCTCATTGATGAAAAACTAAAAATGAGAGATCCAGCAGCAAATCAGTATCTTGCCAAATTACAAAATATCAAATTCCTTCCATTCTTGACAAAACCAGCTGGATTTTCACTTCCATGGCATGGAAACAATTTCCCCCAATCTGCCATGTTCTCGGCAAAAGACCTTTTTACAACAGACCATCAAGACACTGTGTGTTTAATGAAGCCCATTCTCAATGAAAATTCCCCTTCCTTCAAAGGATGTGGTCCTATCTCACTGGCTGTGAAAGACTTTCTTGGATTGATAAAAAAGCCAACTGTTTCATTAGTCATCAGCCAACTGAAAGAGCTCTCAAAATCCTTTGATGGTGTAACTCTGTATCAAGAAAACATAACCAATGCTTGCTACAAATATCTCCACGAGGAATTGCTGCAGTCCAATGCTGCGAAAGAGGAAATCATGGAGGAGCTAAAAACATTCTCTTCAATTCTAGTCGAGAACACATACGTGGAACCATCAAAAGTAGCATTTCACTTAAACTTTGATGCTGCTCCATACCTTTACCAGCTTCCCAACAAGTACAGAAATAGTTGTCGGGAACTTTTTGAAAATGTGGGAGTTCAACCTAGCTTCACTGTTGAAATATTTGCAGCAGTTTTACAGCTGATAAAAACTGAATGTGGGAGAAAACCTCTTACTGAAGAAAACTTTCAGCTGTCTCGTAGAATAATTAGTGAGGGAATATGGAGCTTGATCCGAGACAAAAATCAAGAATTCTGCCAAAGCAACTATGGGGAGATGCTTCTTCCTGACAGCAATTTCACACTACAACCATCAAAATCACTTTGCTATAATGACTGTCCTTGGATTAAAGTCAGGGACACAACCGTTAAATACTGCCATGGTGATATTCCAAGAGAGGTGGCAGTAAAATTGGGAACGGTTCCAAAACGTCACAAAGCCTTAGAAAGATATGCCTCCAATGTTTGCTTCACTACCCTTGGAAGTGAGTTTGGGCAGAAGGAGAAGCTCACCAGCAGAATAAAAAGTATCCTCAATGCTTATCCATCAGAAAAGGAGATGTTGAAAGAGCTCCTGCAGAATGCAGATGATGCAAAAGCCACAGAAATATACTTTGTCTTTGATCCCAGAACCCACCCATCTGACAGAATCTTTGATGACAAATGGGTTCCCATGCAAGGCCCATCACTCTGTGTGTACAACAATCAACCTTTTACAGAGGATGATATTAGGGGGATCCAGAATCTTGGAAGGGGCACCAAAGAGGCAAACCCTGGAAAAACTGGGCAATATGGCATTGGGTTTAACTCGGTGTATCACATTACTGACTGCCCATCTTTTATCTCAAATAATGACATTCTGTGCATCTTTGATCCGCATGCCCGTTATGCACCTGGAGCAACATCTGTCAGTCCAGGAAGAATGTTTAGAGATCTGGATTCAGACTTCAGATCACAGTTTTCTGATGTACTCAACTTATACCTAGGAAATCACTTCAAGCTGGAACGCAGCACAATGTTCAGATTTCCCATAAGAAATGTAGAAATGGCCAATATCTCAGAGATCAGCTCAGCACCTGCTTCAGACAGAATGGTTCAAAATTTCCTTGACAAAATACGAATGGATGGTGCAGAACTTCTTATGTTTTTGAATCACATGGAGAAAATTTCTATATGTGAAATTGAGAATGGAACTGGGGATTTAAAAACTCTATATTCTGTGACCGCAAAAATCACAGATGGTGACCGGCTAAAACGCAAGCAATTTCACGCGTCAGTTCTGGACAGTGTCTCCAAGAAAAAACAGCTGGCTCAAATTCCAGTGCAACAGATTACCTACACAATGGACATAGAAGACACAGATGGTACTTCTAATACCTGGCTGATATGCAACAGATCTGGATTTTCTGACATGGAAAAGGTATCTAAGAGTGTCATTTCAGCTCACAAAAATGAAGACATAACACTCTTTCCACGTGGTGGTGTTGCTGCATGCACCAGCCACAACTACAAAAAACCACATAGAGCCTTCTGTTTTCTTCCTCTTTCTCTGGAGACTGGCCTGCCTTTCCATGTGAATGGCCATTTTGCTTTAGACTCTGCCAGAAGAAATCTGTGGAGGGATGACAATGGAGTTGGTGTCAGGAGTGACTGGAACAACAATCTAATGAAAATGCTAATCGCTCCTGCATGTGTAGAACTGCTAATTCAACTGAAACGTCGGCTTTTTCCAGGCCCTGACCCCACCATGACAATATTTCAAGGAACTCCAATCCATGTTGTCAGGGATATTTTGAGAAAATTTTTGTCTATCTTTCCTGTAAACAGACTGGACATTCAACCAGATTGGTATTGTTTGGTAAAGGCAGTCTACCTTTGCATTCATGAAGATTTGAAAAGACTACTCCCTGTTGTTAGAGCACCCTACATTGATAACAGTGATATGCACTCTGCAGTATACATCTCCTGGGTGAACACTTCCACCTCAACCAAAGGCCGGGCTTTCTTTGACAACTTACTTCAGGATGAGTTGCAGCATCTTAAAAACACAGAGTATAACATTACCACAAGAAAATCTGTAGCAGAAAATGTTTTCAGAATGAAGGCCATGCTCCTGGATGTTGGCTTCAACCTAATCCACAGCTGTGATGAGACAACCAGTCTATATTCTTGCCTGGAAGATGCTGGGATTCCAGTCAACTATGTGACTCCTGAGGATGTCCGCAGCTTCCTTCTGACATTCTCGTCTCCAGACACATCTTGCCAAGTTGGAAAGCTACCATGTCGACTGCAGCAGTCCAATTTCAAGCTTTTCCACGGTCTAAAACTACTTGTCGACTACTGCTTCAAAGATGTGGAGGAAAACGACATTAACATAGAGGGGCTGCCACTTCTGTTAACAATGGACAACATTCTGCAAGTGTTTGACTCCAGACATCCAAAGTTTCTGACTGCTCATCATGAGCTTGTTCCATCAAGGAAGGAGCTTTTCATGCACACATTATACCTTCGGTACAGTAACATCCTTCTAAAAGCAGGTGTGGCAAAGACCTTTGACATAAGCAGTTTTGGAGATCTCCTGGGATCTGTATTTCCCAGAGAGTGCAGAACAAGAAACTCCGTAAAATGGAAGGAGAACTTTCCTACTGAATCTTGGCTTAAGAGTGCATGGCATTTTATCAGTGAACAACTTGCGACCAAGGATGACCAGACAGAGATCAAGCCTAAATTTGAAACCATTCTGGATATATTGAAAGACTGGGCACTTCTTCCAGGAATCAAATTTATGGTGTCAGGAAACAAATTGGTTGTGCCAGAGCATGACATTTTGTTACCCCTGAGCCTAATCTTTGCAGCAATCTTTCCAAATGGACAAAATGACAAAGTCTTTCACACCCTGATGAAGGGAGGATGCTTTCAATTGGCTGTGAATAAAATATGTGTCAAAGAGAGTCCCATCTTGCCTCTGTTGGCTCAGCATACAGCAAATATAGACAGTCCTTCCAGCATAATTCGGGCACTTGAGTACATGATCCAGATATCGGCTTTCAAAACAGCAAGTTTGACTGACAAAGACTTTGAAGCACTGTTGTTGTACTTCAACTGTAATTTGACTAATCTGACCCAGGATGATGTACAATGTCTGAAACTGTTGCCATGTTACAAAGCTGTCAGTGGCCGGTACATCTGCATTGCAAACTTCGGAGCATGCTATGTTCTAACAAAAAGCATTCCCTCTGCCGACATTGAAAAGTGGGCACACAATACATCCTCAGCCTTTCTCGCTGACAGTCCACAGCTGAAAGAACTCTACATGATTCTTGGGGTCACACCAATTGATGACCTTGAGGTCTACCTGAATCATTTAATTCCAAAATTTGACATTTTATCACATGATGCCAAAATCCAACATGTCATCTATCTGAAGGAGAGGTTATTGGCAATGGAGGAGCCAAACAGCATTAAGGATCAGCTCTTTGAAAAACTAGAAGGTCTGTCTTTCATTCATGACTCCACCAATAGACTGAAACCTGCCAAAGCCTTCTTCGATCAAACAGTTAAAGTGTTTGAAGTAATGCTTCCACAAAAAGCTTTCATTCCCAACGATTTCTTCAGAAAAATTGAGCAGGTCTCAAAGCCAAAAAGTGGGACATCCTATTTACCCTCATGGATAACATTCCTACGCAATATTGGCTTAAAATATGTTATATCACAACAGCAAGTTCTACAGTTCTCGAAAGAGATCAGCATCAAAGCTCATACAGAGAGCTGGTCCAAGGACAAAGTTCAGATCATTGTTGATGTTCTCCTAAATCACATTTTCAATGAGAGAATAGATCTGTTTGATGGGGCATTCCTCAAAGAAATCTCTATGATACCATTTCTATGCCCAGAGCGTGCACCAGCCGAGCTTGTCCGCCTCCATGCTCAGTACCAAGAAATGAATGGCACCATCCCTCTAATTCGCTTCAATGGGTCTCAAGTAAATCCAAAGTTCAAACAAACTGATATCATGCAGTTGTTGTGGACATCTTGTCCTATTCTACCAGAGAGAGCCACCCCAACAAGCATAAAAGACCAGGAAGGAAACACACTTACCAGCCAAGAGCAGCTTGATCTTATTTTGAGCCTGTTAAACGTCAATGTGGACCCACCATTGGAAAAGGTAATTAGCAATTGCAAAAACATATGTAGCATTGCTAACTTGGATGATGACACAGTGAAAACACGAAACAAGGTCTTGAGGAGCGTTTATGAATTTCTGAATGCAGAAAAACATGAATTTCGCTGTCAGTTACGAGGAGTAGCCTTCGTCATGGTTGAAGAGGGTTGGAAACTCCTTAAACCAGAGGAGGTTGTCATTAACTTGGACAATGAATCTGACTTTAAACCCTACTTGTACAAACTTCCCCTTGAGCTGGGTACATTTCACCAACTGTTCAAACTGTTGGGAACTGAGGACATTGTTTCAACAAAACAATATGTTGAAGTTTTGTGTCGAATTTATAGAATTTCAGAAGGCAAGCAGCTTGACCCGAATGAAATGAGAACAGTGAAAAGAACTGTCTCTGGGCTATTCAAAAGTCTCCAGAATGACCCAGTACAGGTCCGTAAAGACCTTGAGAATATCAGAGATTTGACATTTTACCTTCCAAGTCATGATGGACGATTGGCTAAATCGAACACTTTGGCCTTTGACGATGCACCACACTACAAGAGCCGAATTCAGGGTAATGTTGGTGTTCAGATGCTAGTTGACATGAGTCAGTGTTACCTAGGTAAGGACCATGCCTTTCACACAAAGTTGATCATGTTGCTTCCACAGAAACTGAGGCCCAGGCTTCTAAGTAGTATCTTGGAAGAGCAACTTGATGAAGACTCTCCAAAAATGTGCCAATTTGGTGCCCTTTGCTCCCTGCAGGGACGACTTCAATTGCTCCTTTCATCAGAGCAGTTTATCACTGGGTTAATTCGGATCATGAAACACGAGAATGAGAATGCATACATGGTGAATGAAGAGAAAGCAATACGGTTATGTAAAGCACTGTGTGAGGGCTTAAAGGTGTCTTGCTTTGAGAAACTACAGACAACATTGCGAGTGAAAGGCTGCAGCCCGATTCCCCACAGCCGTAGTGAAACTCTTGCCTTTCTTAAAAGGTATGGAACAGCTGTTATCCATCTGTACATTCAGCACTCTGACAGCAAAGACATTAATTTTCTTCTTGCTTTGGCAATGACCCTCAAGTCAGCGACAGACAACCTGATTTCTGACACCTCCTATCTTATTGCTATGCTGGGTTGCAATGACATTTACAGAATAACAGAGAAGCTAGACAACCTTGGTGTCAAGTATGACACAACTGAGCCCTCAAAGCTAGAGCTTCCACTTCCTGGTACACCCATACCTGCAGAGATTCATCATTTACTGCTCATGGACCCCATGAATGTCTTTTACCCTGGAGAATACGTTGGTTACCTGGTAGATTCAGAGGGAGGTGATATTCTAGGCACTTACCAGCCAACTTACACATACGCTATCATCGTTCAGGAAGTAGAACGAGAGGAAGAGGAAAGTCCAAGTTTCCTTGGCAAGTGCTTTCAAATTGACATTGGGTACAGTGAGTACAAAATCGTGAGCTCTCTTGATCTGTATAAATTTTCTAGACAGGATGATAGCACCCATATTCGAGATGGCACACCAACTCCAACAAGCCCCTCAGAGGGTCGTTCTCCTTGTGCCAGAATGGTCCCTCCAATATTTCCTGGAAAGGAAAATCACAGGGCTCCTCCAACAAAGGCATCCTCCAAAAAGATAAAACTCAATGCATTACCAGGAATTCTAAAAGAAGTTACCTCAGTCGTAGAACAAGCTTGGAAACTTTCTGAAACCGAACGCAAGAAGATTATCCGCCGCTTATACTTGAAGTGGCACCCTGACAAAAATGCAGAGAATCTTGATATTGCTACCGAAGTCTTTAAACACCTACAAAAGGAGATCAGCAGGATGGAGAAGCAAACACGGGCGGAGCAGACCACTGATAGAGGATCAAGGAGACCTTTCTCTGCATCTTCCACTCGATTCCAGTCAGAGAAATTCTCATTTCAGCGATTTTACACATCATGGAACCAAGAAGCAACAAGCCATAAATCGGAAAAGCAGCAGTTCCGAGAACAATTTAGTAGCTATGCAGGCACATCGCACTCATATCGCTTCTTTGTACCTCCATCATTTAAGTCTGTTGGGAACCCTGTGGAGGCACGACGGTGGCTAAGGCAAGCAAGAGCCAACTTTTCTGCTGCAAGAAATGACCTTCATAAAAATGCCAATGAATGGGTATGTTTCAAATGCTACCTGGCAACAAAGCTTGCATTAATTGCTGCCGATTATGCAGTGAGAGGAAAATCAGACAAGGATGTGAAGCCCACAGCGCTTGCGCAGAAGGTAGAGGAGTACAACACCCAGCTAACAGGGTTGACCAAGGATGTACACATCCTGGAGGGTTATGGTGTGGACAGCCTGAGAACTCGCTACCCTGACCTTTTGCCTTTCCCTCAGATTCCTAATGACAGATATACTTCAGAAGTAGCAATGAGAGTAATGGAATGTACAGCTCGGATAATCATCAAACTTGAGACATTTGTCCAGCAAAAAATCTGAATGTCAGCATTAGACAATGCAAAGCACTAACAGTTAAATTAACAAAGTGGTAGCTGTGCAATATAGACCAGTAAATATTATAAAATACTTTTTTAAAGTAAAATTATGTATCTAGCTGGCATTTTATTTTAACAGTGCCACCCATAGACTGTATAAAAACATGGACGTAGTGTCCGTGACGTAACCCGTAGACTTCCGACGAGCGTTTTGAAGCCTAAAGTAGGCGGAGCCAGCCGTCGCCATCTTGGCAGCGCGTCACCGCGCGTCACTCCCGGATAATCGAAAATGGGCAAAGAGGCGGGAGCTGGCTGCTCACCTCTGATGCTGTGACACATGCTTATTATTGCGTACATATTTGCTCCATTTCTCTGAAAGGTTGCCTGAGCCTAAAGACAAAGTGTACGCTATTTAACATGCAGCAGTGTACATAATGTTCTAAAGCATTGCAATATGTTTTATTATTTTAACTACATTTATTGATTATTGTTGTTCCTTTGTACATAATGAATACCAATGCTGCTTTTTTATCTTTTGTAGAAAGGTATTTTCCTGCCATAGTCATTAAGTTGACGGTATTGTGATTTATTTGCATGAGTTCCACTGCACTTTTATGTAAGTAGCACTTGAGTGATTGCAGGAATTTGAATGAATGAATCATGTGCAATCCAGTAATGAGTAGTGAATCAGCTCATGGTTTCTTAATGGAATCTATATCGGTCCTGTGCCAGTAGCTCATTCTAAAATAAAAACGGCAGGTTATATTCTGCATACCAGGTTTTATCAGCTGACAAATCCATATGGTAATTGACATGCTCCTTTCACTGTACATGTAATACTGATATCAGTGCATAACCTGAACATTAAACAGTGAAAATAAAAATAAATATTTAAAAGACTGTAAATTGCATCCTAAAGATGACATTAGGTTTATAAGTGTTTACCACTTCAATTACTGTATCTGCTTGTTGCAAGATTACAGTATGCAAGAATGAAATGTATTCCATATTTCACAATCAACTTTATCACAACTGAACTATACATATATACATTGTTGGCTAGGGGCACAACAGAGCATTTTTTTATTTCCCATACAAGGATATTGGTGGGTTTAAAATATGTATGTGACATTTTCTCTAGAAACTTGACATGTCAGTAAACTGCTGTGTACACATCATACACAGCATAGTTCCTCAGAAACACATTGATTAAATATGCATTTTCTATTATTCACAATGGGAACCTCTTGTCCTCTACTGCTGAGAATTGTTTGCATGAAGTTCTCTGAAATTTGTGTAAGAGGAACATAGATGCTTATATGGTGCTCAATGTCAGTTATGTTTTTCATCCATTTCCTTTGTGAGAGACTGAAATTAAACACTGGCTACTATATTGTTTGGACAAATATATTTTGTCATTTGTCTTATTATCTCATAAAGTCATATTACAGCTCTGTAAGTTTGAGACACACTAATAGTGGGACTTGGTTTGGTTTGTGCATATGTAAGTTTAATAACATTGAAGTTATATAACATGATTATCTCAATGACATATAATCAGGTAATAATGGTACAAAATATATGTTTTTTTAAACATTTATTGAATACAAAATGTTCCCACAAGTTTTTTTTTTTGTTTGTTTTTTTTAAGTTTGAATGAAATGACCATGTCAACTCATGAACATTGAAACACTGGATGTGGAAAAACAAATTTACACTTGTTCATGCATGCTTGATTAAATTATAACATAATTTAAAGTTCAGTACTACTACAATTATTTACTTCAAATATGTAAACTTCAAAATAGTTTTTCCATTTTTCCCCCATCCAAAAAAATAAAATAAAAAAATACACATCAATCAATATATAGTATACAACAAATGTGTAAATGTGAAGATCCCACCCAAAAAATTTATATACAAAAATAATAATTCTTAGCATTTTCAAACAGATCTTACGCAAAACAGTTCTGGGAGAGGGTGGGGATATCAAACCATTGTGTATAAAGTTCAAAATTCAAGAACACTTTATAGTTTTTATAGATCAATTACGCTGATTTTCACTAAAAGAATGCAGTTACTAGCAATACACCAGCTATTTTGCCACTAACACATTTGCCATTTGATTAACAAAAATGACAGTAGATTTATTGTCTTAGTGTTTCTTGTCTGTGCACAGATTTTCCTAATTAGGGTTTTCACCAAAAACAAAGTTATTCAAGATTGAATGGAGACTATTGGATTTGATTATATTACAATGCTTCACAAACGAATTCAATGCCGCTGTTTCAGGATTGTGGGTAGTGTAGTTCTTCTGACAAATTTGTTAATATACTTGATTTGACAAAAAAAGTTTAAATCAAGCTGACTTAAAAAGTATATATCTTAACCCTCGGAGATCATGGCACGTCCGTCTCAGTATGTTTTACATGTAATAATCAATTCCTCTATGAGTGCATCTTTAAACAATAACTAGCTGATATGCAACACACAGAATTTGGTTATTGCACCTCAAAATTATATTGCATAGGATGTCAGCTGTTTACCAGCCCCTTTATTGCCCAGCCTAATTTTGAACAATTTGTATACAAAAAAAGGGAGAACAAAATTTTGTTCCATATATATAGTATAAAGTGCAGTGTACACAACCCGATCTCATGAGAAAATGTAACTATTTTACAAGGTGATTCATACCATGTGATTTGTATACAGACATATTTAAAGAAAGAAAAAAAAACAGTAAAATAGTTAGTTACAAATTGTCATGGGAGTGTCTTATCCTATCATGATAAAACCCCAAACAAACAGATTAAAGGTGCTGTATGTAGGATTGACACCGAGTGGTTGAACTAGGTATTGCAGTCCAAATTCAAAATATTGGAGAGGGTTTTTTTCACCCGGCCCCTCCTCCTCAGACTTGACACACAGGCAGGTTGCCAGATTGACGACACCAACAGGAACGAGCATACTTGACGATGAATGAAATGAAATAAGCTGTGTTTCCCGCCAACTGGCAACCCGGGGTTCCGAAATACAATTGGGTAAACTGGCAGTGGGCGGGTTTCACAAACCAAAACAGAGACCGACATTCCGGCCCGGAACGCACATTTTCAAAGGAGAATAACTAGCATTGTTTTTCAGATAAACAAGTATGCTAACATGTTTCTTAAATATCTGCAAACATTATGGTATTTTTATGCTTTAGTAGAGTCAAAAACTTACATACAGCACCTTTAATGTACCCTCCAATCTTCAGTAACATTAATACATATTGTGATTTTTGTTAATTTTTTTTTTTTTCCCTTGCCCAGCGACAATGTAACAACACGATTTGTTTCTAGTGTGGGTGTTTTGGACAGAAGGTCATTCAGCAGTCCTGGCGCTCGCTGCAGGTTGAAGAGACGCCAGCTCTGGAGATGAAGAACTTACCACTGGGACAAACGCACACTTCATACGTGTTGTACATTCCCTGAGAGTCACCTGAAGTTCTGGCTTCTCCCACAGGTAATGTCGGCAGACGAACACTTTCAGCGTCTAGAATCACCTGAAATATACAACAGAAACCCTAATAATGAAGTATTTAATGAAAGCTTAAACGAAGTTAGATTTAAAGATTACTAACAATACTAATCATTAACAACCATTATGTAATTACACAAGAAAGGGTAAACAGACTTTCACTAGTCTATTGTTTATCCTTGGAAGAAGAGGTCTTTGTCTCAACTAAAGTTTCCGAGATACATTACATATTGTGTACATTTGTCTCAGACTGTGCTCAAATTGTTTAAAACATCCATTTCTACAATCAAATGTCATTATATTCTAACAAAACCAAATACTATGAGTTATGCCAGCTCAGGGATTGGTCATTTTGGTTACACTTTATTTCGATAGTCCACTTTAGACATTCTATTAACAGTAAGTAACTTTGCAACTACATGTCAACTAGCAGTTAGTAGAGTATTAGTAGACTGTCTGCTTAATATCTTCTAACACTTTCTTTGCAACTACATGTCTACTAACTCTCAGAGTAGACTGTTAGGGTAGGTCTAGGGTTAGTAGAATGTTGACAAAGAAAGTGTTAGAAGATATTAAGCAGACAGTCTACTAATACTCTACTAACTGCTAGTTGACATGTAGTTGCAAAGTTACTTACTGTTAATAGAATGTCTAAAGTGGACTATCGAAATAAAGTGTTACCGTGATTTTAGCTCTGCACCTAATCAAATGCTCAAAAATCTAACCAGAGGTTTTAGGACCGCTTAAAAATTGCAGACAGGTGCGCTTACCAGTCCTGCAGTTGAGTGTAGCTGAATATCAAAGCGTGCCGTCACATCAACATTTCCAGCCAAGGCTTTCACGTGAATGCCTTTTGGGGCATCCATGCTGAGAGAGCGTGTTGGAGACTCAAGTCTTAAAAGATAGGGAATGCTTAGTTACTGTACATTGCAATACATCGTTTAGACACAAGGTGGCCACAAGATTTTCTCAAATTCAACAGTTTGATTCATGCATAGAAACTGAGTGAAATCTGCACGACTGTGGGCATTACATCTATTTGTGAAAGACATTTTTGAGAAAGGAAATGAAATAAGCCTTTGTTGAGAACCAGATGCCTTGGTAACTCGGTTCATCACACATCATAGCTGGTTAATGCCCTGCTGGAAAATTCTATAAAAGTTATTTTAGGTAATATAATCAGTACTGCCATTACTTTTAATGGGCTGACCTTATAAAACAAAAATGTTTTCAAGAAAAAAAGAAAAAAAAAACACCAAATATATCACAGCAGCAAATGCAGAGATAAAAATGGAACAACAATTAATGAATGAATGAATGAACGAACAAACTAACAAGCCGCCAATTAAAGTTCTGTATTGGAATTTAAAATGTTAATAATGATTTATTATATAATTACCGTAGCTCTTTGTTAAGTACAGCTTTGACCAGAGGAGTCCTGACAGAATGCTCAAAGAAAGCACCTTCTGGACCTGTCCAAACACCAGAACACTTACAATTATACAAAGGAAGTGGACCAATCATTCAGCATAGGGGAAAACAAAATCTGTCATGATTTAGAGCAAATAATCACATAATTGCATTTATTTGTCAAACTACAGATTATCCAATATGTTA